ATTACCAATTACCATCCGCCTAACCCAATTTGGGTTATGAGAAAAAAGTAAAGTAAAGTCACATTCACCTTTGTAATTTTGTGGAAGTGAACCAAGCCCCTTACAATGGACTTTTTCTAAAAAACAGATTAATATGCAGATAATGTCAGATAGCAATCCGATAAAACAGATATCTACACATTTCATCGGATTTTCACTGCCAATAAAGCAGTAAGTATCTGATACTTTTCGAGTTATCCACACGCATACTATTCTATAAGTATAATATAATTCTATAAGTATATAATGAATAAAAATTAATATACAATTTTCAAATTAGATTTTATTGTAACCGAATTTTCTTCAAATTTAGATCTTTAAAGAAAATATACAGGTTACAAATCTGGGAAGACACTATTGAAAATGCTCAAATTGATGTCATGTTACCTCCTTCTTTGAACATTCCAAAACACAGGAAACACATGGTTCCAATATTATCGTGGTGGTCAGTATAATTACAGCCGAACTTATTTATTAATAGTCTTCTAAAACTTAAATATCATATTCTTTTTTCACTCAGGTATGAAATGTATTTAGAACAACCAGCGATTCAAGTGGATTCGGCCGTTTACATCAAAACTATAGAGCCAATCTGCTGGCTCATAGATATCATTCTCGTTTTAGCCTGTTTTCTGTTTGTTTGGAAAATGTGTGAAATAAATGACTTTTATTTACAGAAAAAAATCAAACGCAGCTTTGATGATTGCGTTTTGTACGTATTAGGAGCAGTGTCCACTCAAGGTAATTGTTTGTTTATGTCATTTGCTACATTAGAGATACATTAATTTTTATTTCAATATATGAACAGCCAATAAAGACTGGCAATTTACTTTTTCAAAAGCACTATAAATTTCTCAAGAAACAATAACAATCTCTTATCAAAAAAATAATGATGGTATCAAAAGTTTCAAATTTGATAGGAAAAATAAAATCAATAATCAGCTTAAAAATATTAATTTATTGGGTTTATGTCCATTGTATTGATTTACGATTAGTCTCCACTTATAGTCTAATAATAAGAGCCAGTGAACTATTTGAAAAACCTGTTTTCACAAAGCTAGAATTTTTTTTAGTGATATTTTATTATCGACTCATTAAGAAAGTACCATTCTGACAGTCAATCCGCGATTGCGTCATCATCCCTTCAATTTTTGAAAATGTCAAAAAAATTTTTTTCATAACTTGCTCCCACAAGGCTGAAGTTTTGAGAGTGTATTCTTTTAACTGTTCAGAAGAAATATATAAACAGCCAGCCCATTCTCACGGTTGTAAGGGTCTGCCAGTCAAGTACATAATAGTCACGACGTGCAAGGGTGTGGGCGCATTGCCATACATAATCGGCTAAACCCTTGTATTTAAATAATTTATACGCCATTTTGAAGGTCTCTTTGAAAACATCCGATATACCAAACTTCAGCTCTGTATCTCACCTTATGGCCGAGATATCATTGAAAATATGACAAAGTGGCCCCTTTTTCAAACTCAATTTTTGGTGTAACCATAAAATATATCGAAAAACTAGCTGTAAGTGGAATTCTGTCTTAAGGCAATTAAGGCATCGTGCCTTAAGGCAAATTGCTGGAACTTCCCGTACCAAAAATTATTATTTTTTTAAAAACGATTAACATTTTTGAAAAAAAAATACTTCGAAAAAATAAGATTTTTGACAAACAATTAGACAAAAAATTACTTTTTTTTGAAAAAAAATTTTTTTTAATTTTTTTTTTTTAATTTTTTTTTTTTTTGAAAAAAAAATGTTTTTTTTATTTTGACATATTTTGAAAGATCTAAACTTTTTTTCAAAGCAATCTTACTGCTTTAACTGCATAAAGACGAAATATCAAACGGCGTAAGCGCCGCGTCGACGTCTAACGCGTAGACATTGGTACGGAACCCATAGGAATGTAAACCAAAATTATACTTATTGTTAAAATCTCTATAAAATATCTGATAATTTGATGTGCATATGTCTAATAATCATTTTTGACCGCCAGATGGCATTTTTTTTTACTTTTTTCATTAGATCTCCGAAACCGCTAGACCTGCCTTTATGAAAATTTGACCGGTTCTTCGCCTTGTCAATACAAGTAAAATGTTTTTTGAATTATTAAAATCGGACGCTCCGTTCTCTTAAAAACTGAGTTACCGTTTTCGGCACTTTTTGCCCCGTATCTTCGGAACGGCTAGACCTGACTTCGCCAAAAACTAATCAGCACGTCTCCTTATCAATACGAATCGAGTGTTTTTTGAATTATTCAAATCGGTTGATTGGTGTTCCCGAAATCGTCGACGAAAATTTGTATCCGCACATACATACACACACGCACACACACACACACACACACACACACACACATACATCCATTTTTTCTAAGGTATGCCAAAATATTCAGAAACCTTTGAAACGTCGAGAAATGCAAAAATTTTCATTTTCGATTTTTTTGCGATTACTATAACTTGCCCTACGGGAAGTTAATAAATTAAGCGATTCTACTCATATTGGCATAGAATACATAATGTATATTAATATATGCTAAATAATCATTTATTATTTGATAAAAAGAATATAATAATTTTTCAATTAATGTTTTCGGTTAGTGCGTTTTGTTTAATTACTTTCTTATTAGCGTTATTCGAAAGCCTATTGTTTTTTCTTTTAGTACTGCAAATATTGTTCACATCAAATTTGTGGAACACATTGAAAATTTGAACAAACCAGAGTTAGTATACCCGCGCGTAATGCTGGTATGTTGCGCGTTTACATATTCTTTCGGAACAGTTAAAAGAATACACCCTCAAAATTTGAGCTTTGTGGGAGCAAGTTATTAAATTTTTTTTTACATTTTCAAAAATTGAAAGGATGATGACGCGGAATTACTGCCAGAATGGTACTTTCTTAATGGGTCGATAATAAAATATCATTAAAAAAATTTGTAGCTGTGTGAAAACAGGTTAGTCAAATAGTTCACTAATTGTTAGCTGCATTTGCGATATGTGAAAATAAGAAGCAGAGTGCTCAAAATATTTATATATAATCATTGTATTATATATTAAAATCCTCATATTTTCAATTTCAAATAAAAATAAAAAAATTGAATGTATGAAAAATAAAATTTTAACTGATTTTGAAATAGGGGGCAAAGGGAGTTGCTTGCAGTCAACCCTACATTAGCATAATCTGTAGGCCGCATTGCTTTTAAAGTGCCAAAAAAAGTTTCTTGGTTTGATTTCTTTTAATAATAACATTTACTTGTGTACAAACAGATCACTTCGTTTGTTATTTTGCTGTAAGTTGAACTTTAGTAGTTATTTAATAACAACAATTAGTTTTTGCATAGATAATTTAGCTCAGTCATTACCATGATTTGTTTTCAAAAGTGTGTGATGGGTATGGTTGTGACAAGCACAGTTGTATAAAAATCAGATTTATAAATTCGATTTTTTAAAAAATGATTAATTGTAATAAAAGGTTAGACTTTTAACTAATACGTTGGGTTTTAAATTTATAACAAAAAATACTTTTTGCTCTTTCACATAACCATTTTCGTTTCCGAAACAGTGCCTTATAATACAATAATTGCTATAATATTTACTAAAACTTTCAATGTGCATTTTTGGCTAATGCAAAAATTTAAATAAATTGAAATACGCAAACATTCATTTGAGTAACTCCCATAATGATTTAAAATTTAAGAATATTAATGAAAATAAGTTAGGTTGTAGTGAGGTGAATTTATTTCTACTAAAAGCAATAAAAAGAATGTGAAGAAACTTATTCAAAGCAACTTAATAATTCATCTTCTAATATTTCCATTGAATCAGATTCAGTTCTAGATGCTGAAGATACATCTATGCGTATACTGAGTTTCACATTATTTTCGTTTGGATTTCTATTCATAATATTTTACTCTGCCACATTAGTGGCAAAATTATCAACAGTTGTGCCAAACTTTCCTTTCAACAACTTAGAAGATATCGCCAAACAGGAAGAGTATAAAATTTGTGTCCAGCCTAATATATCTGCACATTTAGCATTTAAAGTTGATCACGTAAGTTAAAATTAGTCACTAGAGGTATGCTATGAGAATTATACCTTACATTTTCATAATAAATCTAAAAATTTTATTTATATTTTTGATACATGTACAAAAATAAGTTAAATTCGTATGTTTAAATTTTTTTTATTCATGCAAACGCATTTTCATTTATTATATTTATTTTAAGATTCAGAAAAAATTACACTTGTACATAGATGAAAATATGATTGTTCTTTTGCGTGTATAAGTTTTATAAGGCTTAACATGGAAACGACATGGAAAAGATCCCGTACATTTCGTATATGTTCACTGAAATTGTTAACAAAAATAATTACTAAATTTTCTTAAAGGCTCCTCTAGAACCTTACCTCCCAAAGTGGGATGGTTTGGTAAATCCAGTGGAATGTGGCGTACCGTTTAATAAGTCATACCTTATGGAAACACTATGTCATAAAAAATTGGTAGCAATATTTTCAAATAAAGGACTAGACAACTATTATAATGGGTAGTGATTAATAACATGTCAATTTATTATTACAACAGATTTCTAATAATATCTTTTTCTATTTAGGAAATATGCTTGCAACTTAACACACCTGGGTGTTCGACTATTTCCATACGTCACAAATCCATCTGTTAGAAAAACATTTCCTTATAGAGAATTATTAAACAATCGGTAGGTATTTGAAATAATGATCTATTATGTAAACTATCTATCAAAATTATTCAGTAAACAGCACTCAGCTAGATTAGAAACTAACTAAAAAAATATTTTTTATATAAAATGATTGATGTTTGTTGCATTTATGTTCCAGATTGATAAAAATACGAGAAATGGGCTTATTCAACTATTGGTACAGAAGATTGGCATACACTCCTTCAAGAATAAAATGTTTAAACTGTGAAAAATATCATATGGTTTCGTTTTCTAATATTTATGGGGTCATTTTGACATACACTTTTTCAATAGTCTTTGCTATAAGTATATTTTTTGTTGAATTATTCTGGAACAAAAATATATCAGCAAAACACGTTTCTGAAGAAAATATTCCACAATTTGCCTATTATCCTTGATTGTTGATTTGCTGTGATTGTCGTTATATTAGATTTTAGCTTCTCCTAGAAATTATTTATGAACCTTCAGTTATACTGAACTATAAATTTTTCGAACAAATTAAATACTTATTGATTAGCACTTATTATTAGCTGACTAATAAGGAAAAACATAACTTTTCGTAGAAAGATCAAAAATAATAAATGTTTTGAAAATTTTACCTAACTTATGATTAATTTAATTTTTTGTATTTTAATACAATTTCAAAATTTAGATAATATTTTGCACCAGTTTGTATATACTTCTTTAAACACCAAAAACAATTTAACAAATATTATTATAAAACAAATTATTATACTAAAAAAAACTAAAATAAATTATTTATAACTTACTAGATAATATTTTAATGTCATATTAACTAAACATGTTTTGTGCAGAAAAAATAAATAAAAGATGAAAACTCACCTTATGCTTTGTCAAATACATTTCCTCAGAAGATCCATTTCAATTTTAGTTTCTATAAAAAAATATGTACTTTCATTAGAGTTGCAAGCACATAAATTATTTATGTTAGAAATACGCCCTTTTAAATAGAAATTATTTTACAATACCTTGCTGCATGTTTCCCCTTTGTATCAACCCACATAGAATAGCAATTCATTAATATT